TTTTTTTTTTTTTTATATATATATATTTTCCAAATTATTTTCAACAGAGCAAGGAATTTATCACAGTATTTCCTATAATATATTTTTCTTCTGGGGAAAGTCTAATTTGCTTTATTTCGGCTAGATTAAAAGCAGTTTTAATTTAGTTTTTTTTATTTTAGTCAATAATATTTGCCCCCTTAAGCAATACTTGTTTTGACGGCCTACAGATTAAACCATCGTCATACAATTAACCTAGTTAAGCCTTTAAATGTCACTTTAAGCTGAATACTAGAATCTTGAAAAATATCTTGTAAAAGATATCTACTGTAGGAAAAATGTCATCATGGCAAAGATAAAAGAAATCAGTTAGTCGAAATTAGTTAAGACTATTATGTTCAGAAATGTGTTGCAAAAAATTATTCCCGTTAAACAGAAACTGGGATAAAATATACAGGAGGGCTGATAATTCAGACCTCAGTATGTAATTGTAGGTTGTTTTCTAATTCTCCACTATGTATGAATTCTGACTGGTACTAATTCAAATTTACAAAAAGAGATTATACTAAATGTTAGTATTCAAATTATTTAAAACCTGTTGAAACCTGGTTAAACCTTTGGTTTAAAGCATACTTTCATCCTGTTTATCTAACCAACCTTCTGTCTCGCTACAATCCAACCCGTTCTTTAAGATCTTAAAACACTGGTAGTACCCAGAGTAGACTACTAAAGGAGGTTGAGCCTTCTCATTCATGGCTCCTAAACTCTGGAATCGCCTTCCTGATAATGTCCGAGGCTCAAACACAATGTCTCAATTCAAAACTAGATTAAAGACCTATCTTATTAGTAAAGCATTCACTTAGGCCCAATCCCAATTCTATTTTTGTACCCCTTCCCCTTGGCCCTCAAAATTTACCTCTAAGATTTGGGACAGCACTACAGCACCTGCATTTTGCTCTCCAGTGTTTGGACGTTCAGCAGTGAAAATTAAAACACTGAACTGAACTAAACTGAAAACTGGATTGACAGTTTCAGTTTACTAGAACTACTATTTTAAGCTTCTTTGACTCGATCTACATTGTAAAAACGCTATAGAGATAAAGATGAACTGAATTGACTAAATATTTAAATATTGACTATATATTCGCTATTAAAAAAACATTTGGCTGAGTGCAAGTGGATTCTTGTTTTAAATATATGTAAGGATATTTGATATAAAAGCTATTCATACACTAAATATGTTGCCTTGTGGTTTAAAAAAATATTTTCAGTTCAGCAAACAAAAAATTAAGTTGCATATCATTTTTTCATTTGGTTTCTTAAAAGCCCCTATTCATCTTGGATCTCTTACCAATGGATCATATATTACATAATTAGCGTATTGAGTCACATTTGGCAATTACTCTCCTGTACTATACTGTTTTCACAAATCCACCAGAGGCTGCTGTGTACGCTTTATAAGATCTCAATTTTCTTTTGCGAGTGCCATTTGCGCCTGCTGTTCTTGCGTAAATCCACCAGAGGCCGCTTCCCCCACCCTTCTTCCCTAAACCCAACCACAGTGTTTTCAAAAGCAATCCAGAAAAAAGCCCCTGATTTTTTTTTTACCACATTTTCAGATTTTACCACATTCTCACCGTTATTTACTTATTTTATTTTTTAACTTTTGTTTTTGTTTCTACCTGCTTTCTTGAACCGTTCTTCACCAGACTTCGATCTGCATCTAAATGCGTCTAGACAAGCCACTAGACAAACTGGTAACTGCGGTCAGCTGGTAAGCGAGAAAAGGATCGACATCATACCGCAGCATTTGTTTTAATGATGAAATGCAGCCATATGTACCCCTTGCTATATAATTTGTGATCTCCTTTAATGTATATAGGGGTACCTTTTCAGAATGAGCCTATGTTGAGTTTGACAATAATAAAGTGAAAACTTCATGTGTTTTTCAGGCCTGTGACTGTGAGAATTGTGTGAGTTTAAAACATTTGGGCACAAGAAATCATGACATTTGGAGATAAAGATGAACTGAATTGACTAAATATTTAAATATTGACTATATATTCACTATTAAAAAAAACATTTGGCGGAGTGCAAGTGGATTCTTGTTTTAAATATATATAAGGATATTTGATATAAAAGCTATTCATACACTAAATATGTTGCCTTGTGGATTAAAAAAATATTTTCAGTTCAGCAAACAAAAAATTAAGTTGCATATCATTTTTTCATTTGGTTTCTTAAAAGCCCCTATTCATCTTGGATCTCTTACCAATGGATCATATATTACATAATTAGCGTATTGAGTCACATTTGGCAATTACTCTCCTTTCTAAACAGAACTCTTACCAGATTAGTCTTAATGGCCTGATTAAAACAGTCATGTGGCCATCTGTCAAACGTCTGAATATTCTGATGGTCATCGATACATGTGCTCGTCATGTATATGTTAAGAGGCCCGACTTCCCTCTTTCATTCATTCCCACTAATATCTCTCTTGCTGCATATTGATATCACGCATAAGAGTGTACACAAAACCCATATCCCGCTGTATGCGGTTTTGTTTTCAAGTATTCCTGCACATGCATAAATGCGACAGTTCTGCCGGACGGAGCACATGACAAACCCACGTGCTTCAGGCTGTTATGTGATCAAAATGCTTTTGCGCAGAGATTTATACTGCACGAGATATTGTTTCATATCGCAATGTGCACATTCGCAATAGACACATCGCAAGAGTCTGAATTGTAGCACCTTATAGAACCATTAAGCACGTCATTTCACTCAGCGGCCATCTTGGAAACACCTCTCGGGCAGTGTGCTCGCGCATTCTGTCTGAATGGATAACATCAAATTCTCCAAAACTGCTTGTCAAGCTTACAATTGAATTCCATAATAGGAATCATTAATAAAAGTAAACCAAATCAGTCTTTTTAGTTTCATTTCTAAACATTTAAATCACACAAAATGTGCAGAAACGCACGTCTGGTCTGAGTACCTCCCCCAGAGTATTGTCTGTCTATAGCGATCAATGATTGGCTCCTGTACTATTAGGTGGCCTTTATTCACCATTTAGCAAATCGATGATTGGCTCCTGTACTAGTAGGCGGGCTTTTTTCACCATATTGACACTTTTCCCCATTCAAAAAGATACGGGTGACATCAGGGCCGGAGTGGGACTCCTTTTCAGCCCTGGAGTTTCAAGCAGACCGGCCCATCTCAGTTCACGACTTAAAATAAGGTCATTTCCAATTCAGTTTCTAATTACACTATCACGTCTTTTTCAAGAAAACAGCTGCTTTAGAACTTCAAACGTTCAACAACCTTACAGTTTTATATGTCTTAACGATAATAAAGAAATAAAAATAAAAAATAAAAAAAACAATTACTCAGGTGAGGATCGAACACGGATTGTCGACGTCGTAAAGCAACGTGCTGACCACTGGACCACAATAGCGCTGTTACAGTTGTGTGGCTGGAATAATAATTACATCATCATTACCATGCAGGCTGCATTTTGCTCATGGGGCTGTGAGATAATAAATAAGAAGAGCGGAGCTGCAGCAAAATAATGAATATAAAGAGTGAGGCTATGGTCAAATAAATAAATAAATGAAAAAAAAGTGCGACTGCTGAGAGTGCAAGCAGCTAGAAACACCGGCCCTCATGGCCAAAAAAACAGACCGGCCCACCGGGAACTCTCCCGGTTCTCCCGATTGGCCAATCCGGGCCTGAGTGACATGTCTTGTATATACTATAGTCTTTGATTATAGTTGAACAGGACCCACATGTTTAAGTTTAACCAACTCAGACTCATTCTGATAACGCACCCCTGTATACATTACTGGAGAACGCCAAATCCGTCCTAGGAGCTATGTTTTTTTGCAGTTTTTGTTTTCACAGATCCACCAGAGGCTGCTGTGTACGCTTTATGAGATCTCAAATTACTCTTGCGAGTGCCATTTGCACCTGCTGTTCTTGCGTAAATCCACCAGAGGCCACTTACCCCACCCTTCTTCCCTAAACCCAACCACAGTGTTTTCAAAAGCAATCCAAAATTCTGATATTTTTTTTTTTTTACCACATTTTCAGATTTTACCACATTCTCACCCTGTTATTTACTTTATTTTTTGGCTTTTGTTTTTGTTTCTACCTACTTTCTTGAACCGTTCTTCACCAGACTCGAACCCCGTCGTCAGGGTCAACTCCGATCTGCATCTAAAATGCGTCTAGACAAGCCACTAGACAAACTGGTAACTGTAGGAAAGCCATCCACATGGAGGTAGGCGGTCAGCTGGTAAGCGAGAAAAGGAACGACATCATACCGCAGCATTTGTTTTAAAGATGAAATGCAGCCATATGTACCTCTGGCTATATAATTTGTGATCTCCAGAAATGCATGTAGGGGTACCTTTTCAGAATGAGCCTATGTTGAGTTTCACAATAATAGAGTGAAAACTTCATGTGTTTTTCAGGCCTGTGACTGTGAGAATTGTGCGAGTTTAAAACATTTGGGCACAAGAAATTATGACATTTGGAGGTGTAACAAAGACTAATTGTATTTAATTATTTTATGATGAAGATTATACACACAGTTAATTTACATTTGTATTGCATTGACTGCTTGTCTTACATTTAATTTTTGCCTTATTTCTACAGAATAATTATCTATATTTCAAATGTTTACTCACCCCTATTGGCATATTATTTTGTTTTTTTTTATCGAAA